TAAGAAGAAGGCTGGCATGGTGGTGCACGCCTGTAATCCTAGCACTTGGGAGGCTGAGGCAGGAGGATTGTTGTGAGTTCAAGGCCAGCCAGGGCTACAAAGTGAGCTCAAGCCAGCCTGAACTGCATAGTGAGACCCTGTCTCAAAAAAAAAAGAGTAAGAAGGATCTGTCTGGGTTTGAACTCCACCTTATTTACTCTTGACTCTGAGCAAGTTTAATCTCAATTTTGTGATCTAAAATAGGGATAATTGAATCACATAGGCTTGTAATGACGCATACCTGCCACACAAAAGACAATCTGTGAGTGGTAATTATCATTATCATTATTATTATTCTTATTCCTGGTAGAGAGAGGAGTAAGTGGAAAAGAACAAAGAAGAAAGAGGTTGGGGCTGGGTACACAGCTCAGTGGCACAGTGCCTGCCTGGCAAGAGCAAGATCCTGAGTTAGATTCCTGGTACAAAAAAAAAAGGAAGAAAGAGGTTGGGGTTCAGAAAACTGCAAGTCCTGTCTATTCCTAGAATACTCCTCATGGCTTTTACACTGAACAAATGGGGAGGTGATGGAAACAGAGGACTAACAGCACTTTCTGCTTTTAATTATACAAATATTCCCAGCCCAGCCAGAAGGGAACTCTGAGCCTTCTCCCAGCTCAGGTCTAACCCACACTTAGCAGCCAACTCTCCCTCCAGCTCCCAGAGCAGAGGGATGTCAGGGACACCTGCGGACAGGGAAGAGATTCTTTCTTCCACAGAGGAGCTAAATTACAGTCTCTCAGACTGTTCTTAGCAATCTGTACAGGAAGATGCATGACAGCAGCCGCAAGTGGGTGCCAGGGGTGGGTGAAGAGCCAAGTCACACACCCTTCGACTGCAGCAGTGCAAGGTAGGCCAAGGTTCTCCCAACCCTCAGGCTAGGGAAAATGTCAGGCTGCAGAGGTAATGTGAAAATGAGGAGAAGAGACAGGAACTCCTGCAAAACTGCAACTGCCAGCCAGTCACTCACTGTGTTTGCTCTTGTCTCCTCAGCTCCTGGCCAAATCTAGCCAGGTGCACTTTGTGACTTCACGATGGCTCTGGTCCAAGACGATGAAACTGAGTGCTAACACCATGTCCTCTTCCCAGATCATCTCCTATAACCCTAACAATAATCCTAAGCAGGCGGTACCAATATTATAAGCATTGAGTCATATAAAGAAGCCGTTTGCCCTAGGCCTCAGAGCTGCCATGCAGGGGAAAGGACGTAAACTCAGGCTGCTGGCTTCCCAAGCCCCTCCTCCAACTGCCCTTCCCCGCCTCCAAAGGAGCTGGGATATAGTTTTGGACAAATCCTCCCGGCACAGATCCTGAGGTTTTAGTTCTAGAACTGTATTTGCACTGTTTCTAGGTAATTTTCCCAAGGCACTACTGGTGAATAGATTTGTTACTGCTTTGGAGAAACTCTCCAAGCTTTTTTTGTTTTTCCAACTTATCTGCCATGAAAAGTAGGCAGGTTAAGCAGCCCCTCCGGACCCCAGCAGTGGGCAGCACTGCAAGGCTCAGCTGCATGCACCAGGGTTTTTCTGGCCTCCTCTCTCTGACCTGTCCAGAGCAAAGAAGGTTTGCCAAAGGACAGAATAAGAGCACAGTTACACAAGCCAGGTCCTTTCTGGCTCCCTGGGAAGCCAGCTGGATTCACTGCTACAGATAACAAGCAACAGGGGAGGGTACTCAGTGTGCAGAGTATGTTGTAAGTAACAAGGTTTTTATTTACATATACACTGGGAGCTACTTCAGAGTCTCAAGTGTAAATATTGCTTATGCAACTTTGCATTCCTGAGGACAGAACCAGTTCCAGAAGGGTAGGTCCAGCTTTTGCTGATCCTGTTTTAAAATCTGCAAAAGGCTCAAGGCCCTTAGACAAAAATCTGTCCCACCCTCAAGGAACTCAATTCAGCAAGTCTAGTCTCCATGATAACTCTGAGGCAAGTCGTCTCTGACAACTTGCTGTTTAAGAAGTATTATTTACAACAGGCATGGTGGCATGTGCCTGTAATTCCAGCACTCAGGAGGCTGAGGTAGGAGGATTGTTGTGAGTTCCGAGACCAACCTGGGCTACAAAGTAAGCTCAAGGCCAGCCTGAACTGCCTAGCAAGAACCTGTCTCAAAAAGACAAAAAAAAAAAGAAAAGAAATATTATTTACAATGTAATGTCTAACTTTGTGATGAATATTCCATTCCACTTTGTATTTCTTGTGATCTTCCAGTTGATACAAGACTTAAACGTGGGCAGCCCAAGGGCAGGGACTGTGTTGGGGGTGCTTGTATCCCTGCAGAGATCATAGTATGACCACTCAAATGTCTACTAAGCTGCAGTTGAACATTCTGTGTTGTTCTACGTTCTTACATTCCTGAATCTCTCTGAAGAACTTGTGATCCTCTCTCTAGGACTCTGGGATGGCTCTGGACCCAAGGTATCAACAGAGAAGCCAACAATAGTTCCCATCAGATCCGATAATTAATGGAGCCAGGCAGCCAGCCCAAACCATCAGCACATTCCTCAACTGCTCTGCTTCAGTATCACTGGCCGAGTTCTGCTTCATTCGCTGTGGCTGCTGTGGGCCAAGAAAACAATGGGATCCATCAGAAGGAAGAAGCCCTGGGCCGACAGCCAAATCTCAGTGGAGGGTGCAGAGGTTCCATTTACTACTCTTGCTGAGGCCCATTTTACCATAGCAAGCTACTTTTACCTGCTGTGGAATTCTACAGGAGAGAAAACATGTTAAAAGAACATGTTCTAAATGAGCCTTTTTCCAGTAGAACAGCCAACAGCTCAGCTAACATCTCACTAAAGTGACCCTGAAATCAAAACTGGCAAAGCCAAGCTGAAAGTCAAATGAAACTCTGCAGTGGTGCCATTCATTAAATGTTGTGCAGAACATTCTGTTGCTGGTCAAAAAATTACCATACAAAAAAGCATGTAATACCCTTGTATTTGCAGGGTAGACAGAGACATGACTATTTGTCAACACCCACTTGGCACCTGATGAACCCCCTCCAGAAAGGACAGAACTGATTTATGATACCTCTGGTTTTTCCAGAAGAGGTAGCTGGGGAGACAAATATTGGACAGGGGCTATTGCACTATACTTTGGGGGTAGCTTTTGTTTTTTTTAAAAAATTAAGTGTTCACCAGGCATGATGGCACACACCTATAATCTCAGTATTCAAGGAGGCTGAGGCAGGAGGATAGCAAGTTCGAACCCGGCCTAGACAACTTAGTGAGACCCTGTCTCAAAAATTTTAAAAAAATAAAAAGGGCTGGGACTGTACCTCAATGTGAAGGCCCTGGGTTCATTCTCCAATACAAAAATCAAATAAACATATGAACAAATGAAACCCTTGAATGTTGGACTGGGGAGTACAGCTCAGTGACAAGGTGCTGTGTTCAATCTCTAGTGCGCACATGCTCAGTACATGGGTCATGTAAGCAAATACAACTATAGTTTTAAAAATCAGTTTGATGGCTGAGGCTGTGGCTCAGTAGTGAAGCATGTTCTTGGCATGTGAAAGGCTCTGGGTTCAACCCCCAGAACTCCCTCTCCCCGCCCCCAAATTAGTTTTCAGCTGGGCATGGTGGCACACGCCTGCAATCCCAGCACTTGGGAGGCTGAGGCAGGAGGATCGTTGTGAATTCGAGACCAGCCTGGGTTACAAAGTGAGCTCAAGGCCAGCCTGAACTGCATAGCGAGACCCTGTCTCAAAAAGGCCAAAAAAAAAAACAAACGAAAAAAAAAACAACAATTAGTTTTCAGCCATTCACTAATATTACTTAGCATATACCAGGCACTAGAGTAAGATGCCAGTCTCAGGAATTGGGTGAGGAGAAGTAAAAACAAATAATTAAACAAATCACTCCAATGTAGTGATTGAAATCAACAGTGAGGGCCCAGGAAAAAGCTACTGGCCTTGCCTGGATGCAGTGGAGAACCAGGTAGTTCCTCCAAAAAGTACTTTCAGGGCCAAATCTTAAAGTGGCAAGACTAAAGCCTAGTACTATTCCCCACAGCACTTCCAGCATCCTGAACTGTGATAAGAGTCGGACTACAGGAAAAAAAACAAAACAACACACACACACACACACACACACACACACACAGGTAAACAGACACACTGAAAGGGAAAGAACACAGTGCCTCCTAACTGTTCTGTACCACTCTCTTGGATGTGGCAAACGGGCACAATAACGGAAGAAAGCTTGAAAATGCCAAAGCTATATTCTGTTTCCATTCCCACCCCACCGCTCTACATTGACCCAAACACACCATGAATCCCCCACGTACGCCTGATAAAGGGTACCGACAGAGCTGACATTTATACAGTGCTTGGAAGAGCACCTGGCACAAGGTGCTTTATAAATGTTAAAGTCAAATAAAGCCCAGTGATGAAAAGCTTTGCTAATATCTCCCCAGGGAATTCTCAGCGTCCCTGACAGCAAGGCCTAACGGAACTTGGATGTTCTTCCTGATACTAAAATATAAAGATACTGGACATATCAGAAGCGGAGGTAAGACCCACACTTTGAAGGGCAGCGCCTACTCCACCAGAGAATCGTGTAATAAGAGCCCTTTTAGCTCTCCGTGCCTCAGTTTCCCCAACACCAAAACTACAGTAAGAAGCTCCTTCAATCCCTCGACCCAGGCGATCCGCCTTGGAGAAGGCAGAACGCCCTCAGTACGCTGCGCAAAACACCGGGCGCGGCGAGCAGGTGGCCTCCGTGCGCCCGCCGCGCGGCCGCGAGTGCGCAGACAGGTGCCCGGGAGCGCGCGGGCCCAGCGCCTCCAGGACCAGAGCCTCCTCGCAGACTCTCCAGGTGCGCGGTGCCCCGAGGTCGCCAGCCCTGCCACCCTGCGCGGTGCCGGGTGCCCAGTGCCCACGCGCGGAGGGGGCGCGCAGCATTCGGCCGCGGAAAAGGGGCCTTCCTGGAGGTGGAGCCCGCGCCACCGGCCGCCGCCGCTCACCAGTTCCCGGAGCCCACGATGCACACTTTCAGGGGCGCCGCTGCCATGGCCAAGCCGAAATGCAGCAGCCGGCACCGCGCCTTCCCGGCCAGCAGCCGGCCTCGCCCGCTCAGCCTAGCCCGCAGCGACCCCGCCCCGCCCGCCTGCGCCTCCGCCTCGGCCAATGGCTACGACCGCGCCCGCCCCGCGCGGCACCGGAGGCCGCGGCTGACAGCCCCGAGGACCCGCCCGCCACTCCCAAGAACCACTGCGCACGCCTGGTCCTGACCGGCCTCCCGGGCTGCTCCCATGCCGCTCCAGCCTGCCCGGGGCATGCCGGGACATGTAGTCCACGTCCCCGGCCGGCCGGCGTGCGCCGGACACAGCTCCGCCCCAGCGGATGCCCGGCTTCGGGACAGAACGGGCCGGGCGCATCCTGCCGTGGTGATCCTACACTTCCTTGTCTCTACCCGAGAAGCGCTGCCGCTGCGTTAGGAGCGCAGAGCCCCGAGGCTGCCGCTAAAGCCAACCAGACTTGGGCCAGAGCTGGAAGAGCCCACTCTGCCTTTTCAGCCAGCTTCACCAGGTTACAGAGAAGACGCGCCTGGCACCCCTGAACTTGTTAGTGAACTTCGATTCCGAGGCCCTCGGACTGTGGCTGAACTGTACCGCGCTTCCGACAGAGTGAAGATAGAAACCTGGACACGGGGGCGGGAGTGGGAGTCGGCCTTCACCCACCTCCAAAGCAGGGCATTTCCTCCTGGGCGTCTTTGCCAGGATGGGACTCTCCTTGCCTGTGGCTGGTGTGTGTGTGTGTACACCAAACGCTCTTCGCTCCTTCCTGACAGATAGAACATACGCATTCTGTGTGTCAAGCTCCACGGGCACTGTGTTGGACGCCGTGACTCCCATACTCCGCAGCAGATTGGAGTCCGTGGACCTTCAGCAAATCGCCACGCCTGGGCTCCGCCCTAGCCTAATTACACCAGAACCCCCATTCCTGGGGCAAGCATCAGAATGGAAAGATGACTGCAGAAGGCAGCCAGATTGAGAATCTGAGAATGAAAATATCAGCAGACACTGGCTAAAGAAACATGTACTCTAGCACCTAGAAGAATACCAGCCTATTACTTTGATGCCTAGAGGATTCAGTGTTATTTTTGTTTCATCTCTACATTGTATGAAAAAATTATCTGTGCCGGTTGTGGTATTTACTTAAGGAAATACTTAAAACTGTAGGTGAGGCAGAAGGTTCTCTCCATCCCCTGTGATGGTTTGCTCAGTTATTTGTCCTAATGCAGACATGTAGGGATGATGGGAAAGATGGACTAGTCAAGCTTTACCAATTCTTTCGCATGTGTGTTACAAAATGTATTTGTAAAATTAAATAATGAAGTCATGTACTTAGTATGTTTTATATGTCATCTGAATAATTCTTATTCCCAAATGTTATAACTACACTTGCATGATTATGAATTAACTGGCTATTCTGTGATCACATCCTGCCCGACATAGACCTGCAGAGTTTATCAAATGCCTGAGAGGTACAGTACAGTGTGCCAAAGTAGATTTACTAGTTGTTTGTTTCTACTCACAAAGATGAAGACAGAAATCAAATAGGTGAGCCTCATGATCAAAATAAAGCAAGTTATAGAAGAATGCATATAGCACGATCCCATTTTTCTTTAGAAATAGGCAAAATTACTAGGCATGGTGGCACAAATCTTTAATCCCAGCACTTGGGAGGGTGAGGCAGGAGGACTGCAGTGAGTTCAAGGCCAGTCTGATGAGACCCTCACTAAAAAAAAAAAAAATTTAAAATTAAATACATCACTGAGGATACATATATGGTGAAACCACAGAGGAAGATAAGGAAATGATAAACACAAAATGTAGGATTGTGGTTGTAGTTGAGGGGAGGGTTAGTTATTCTTTATACATTTTGTATAAATTATAAATACGCATGTAGATATTTAGTGAAAATCATGGAGGAGAGGACAGGCAACCATATGGATCAATGAAGAGAGCCAAATGAACCACAGCAGATGAGAATGAGTTTCCGGTATTGAGACAGTCAGTCTTCCGCCAGTCCCAGTCCAGTGTTGATGCTCTTGCCCTTCTGTGTGCTACTTTCCCCAAAAGGCTGAGCAGCCTGGAAGACAGAGTTGGCTAGAGTCACTGAGACAGTACCAATTCTTCAGGGACCAGGAGAAAACCAAAAGTATATATCATCCCATGCTTGGAGCCATGCCTAGTGCATGTATCATGGTAAAAAGAGTCACTCCTATTCAGGCAGTACTTTGACAACAGCTCAGAGGTATCCTTAGCAAAGTCAGTGAGTACATGGAGTACAATCTTTATTTTCCGTATTACAAAAGGCAGTGACAACAACAGTTTCCCAACTGTGACTGTTAATCCTGATATGGCACCCTTGTTGGATTAAAGAACACCTAGCAGATTAGTAAAGCACACTCCTGTGTCTGAGTTGGTCCAGGGGCTCGACTTTGGGTACTATATATGGTCCTTTGCCCATTCCTCTTTGGTACTGTTCCCTGATCTGCTCCCTGGCCACCGTGAACTAAGCAGCTGTGTTCCGTCTCACCCTTCCACCATGATGTTCTGCTGGAGCCAGCTGATGGTAGACCGAATCCCCTCAAACCATGAGCCAAAGTAAACCATTTTTCCTTTAAATTGCGTGTAAAAGGTATTACGTCCAGCAACAGGAAAGATGACTAATACAGAAAATTGGTAACAAAGAAGTAAGATCATTGCTGTGATTATACCTGACCATGTGGTTTAGAAGCCTTTGGAATTGCTTTCGGGAGAAATTTGAAAAGGTTTGGAGATACAGCCTGGAAAAGTCCTACAGTGTTATAAACAGAGCTTGATGGGTGAATCTGAGCTCAGAACACCAGCTCAGAAAACCAGAATGCTGATATGAATACAGACAGTAATAGCCAGGCTCAGGAGTTTTCAGTTGGGAAGAACTCCATTGGCAGTTGGTCTAAAGGCCATATGTGCTACACACTGGCAGAAAATTTGTCTATATTTTGCCCATGTCCTGAGACTTTGCAGAAGCCTAACATTAAGATCAGTGGATTTATTAATCTGATAGAGGAGATGTCAAGGTATCCCAACTGAAAGGCGAGGGAAAGAAAGGGAAGGGATGTAAAAAAAATATGATGAGTTAGGTACACATACTAGCTTCCCATGATTAATATAATCATTATGAACTGCAAATACATACTAATAAAACTTTTTTAAAAGACATCTCAACATTCAGTCTGTGGCATGAGTATTTCTGGCTGCTTTTAGCCAGATTTATAGAAAATACTAGGGATAAAGAGCAGAATAGAAATTTTTGAAAATTTTAAATTTTGGCCCAAAAGAACTATGAATAAAATTGGGGCCAAATGGAGTATGACTTCTAAAAAGATTAGTACCAAGCCGGGCATGGTGGCACACGCCTGTAATCCCAGCAGTCGGGAGGCTGAGTAGGAGGAGCATTGCGAGTTTGAGACCATCCTGGGTTACAAAGTAAGCTCAAGGCCAGCCTGAACTGCATAGCGAGACCCTGTCTCAAAAAGACAAAAAAAAAAAAAAAAAGAAACCAAGTACTTGGTACAGGGACAAGAAGAAGTATACTTTATTGGCATCTCAGGAATCAGGCAGACCTGAGCCATGGCAGGTTGAAGGGTTCAAAAATGTCAACCTTTGACTTGATGAGAGTCCCTGGGAACTCTGCTCAAGAAGAGCACCCTAGGAAATTGGTTCCCTGGACTTCATTACACCATGCCCAGCCATCCAGACATTAAGGGGCTGTTATGGTTTATGTCTGTGTGTCCCCTCCAAAGCCTCATGCAACCATGGGGCAGGCTATTAGAGTTGAATGATTGTGGGTGTGAGAGCTACACCCGCCCTGGGGTGGATAGTTTGCATATGTAAGGGAGAGGAAAAGAGTGCTTGAGGCCATTCCTCCCGATTCTGCCCTGGTGTGTGCTTGCAGCTTAGCTGTGTTCTGTCACCATGAGCTGCAGCTCTTTGCCATGTGCCACTCTGCCTTATAATCTGCCAAGTACAGACTGAAACTTCCACGAACTGTAAGTGAAATAAACCTTTCCTTCCTTAATTTTGGGCATCAGGTATTTTGTCCCAGCAGGAAGAAAAAAAGTAACCAAGACAGGGGCCATATTTCAAGGAGACCTGGTCTGCTTCCTCTGACAGCACACCTTGGTATCATGTACATGATTCTGGTTTTACTGGCATGCAAAATGCAGCAGTTGTGGGATTAGGGGTGTTTCCACACTGATTTCAAATGAATGCCTGGGAGGCCAGATAAGGAGCCCCTGAGAGGCTCCTATGAAGCTGTGGGAAGGAAGTCAAAAGTATAGTCAAGATCCCAGGGTGTAAGAGATGCCAGGAATGTTAGAAGTTGGCTGAGGAAAGCTGCAGACCAAGAGTGGAGCCAGCATTAGAGAGAGCCTTGTAGACCACCTCTGGCAAGGTCATGGGAGCAGGGTGCCCATGCCCTTTGGAACTTACATTTTACCACCATGTGCCCCAGATGATGGACATGGAGCTACAGGACTTAATGGTTGCCCTCCTAGCTTTCAGTCCGGCTTCAGTCCAGTTATTTTCTACCCGCTTATTCCTCCTTTATGGAATGGGAATGTTTATCATATGCCATTGTGTCTTAGAGTTATATAACTCATTTTAAAATTTTTACAGAGGTTTATAGCCAAGAGTTTTTTGTTTTGTTTTGTTTTGGGTTTTTGTCTTTTTTTAAATTATTTTTTATTTTAAAGAGTAAAAGAAGGACAACATAGCAATAGGGGGATTCACCAAATTACAAAGTGGTAGGACGTTGTCAATGGTTGTTATTTTACCTATTGGTTTCTTCAAGATAGTTTCTCAAGAAAACAAATAGACAAATAATAGTGAGTTACAGACAAAAACGGCAGGAAATTATCAGTGGTTGTTGTACTATACCCTGGTTTCTCCAAAGTGGTCTCTAGGGAAAACATATTGAGCTATACATGAGCAATCAATCAAATAATCAATGACTATTCTCAATGGTGAAAACACATAGTAACAAACATATATCCATTTATGAAATAGCATAGGAACAATACAAACATTA